GGGGGTTTAAGTGGAGAGAAAATGTTTTGAGAAACGATGTACAAATGCGCTTTACACAATTGATGTGTGTATGGATTGGGATAACAGTTGTATGAGCCCCGAATAAAATGTTAAAAAAAAAAAAAGAAAAAAAGAAATCTGTCCCATATAAATGATGGTAACTGGTTCTTTAAGCTTTTTGGGGTTTACAAAAGGTTTGACAAGAATACTTTTGCAAAAAAATAAATAAATAAATGAAATAAAAACAAAGTGAAAAAAAGAAACACTCTTGCACTCTTGCAAAAGCACAATAGAAGGATTCTTAATCGATTATTCTTTTAATATAAATTCATATGTCTTTCCCCTCAACTTTGAGATCCTTACCAGCTGAAGACATAAACGGTGACCATAAGCAGCTGAATAATGAACCGCGTTGTATCCTTGCTTATCCCGGATCCCTGGATTTGCATCATTTCTTAGTAAGTATTCCAGGCACCTATATATACATTAAGAATATATTCAAAATTCTACATTTTAACCAATTGTAAAACAGAGGTGAATGAAAAACAGGTAATTTTTCTTACATCCAAATGGTATAGCAAGCATAAATGTACCTGGTACTGTGTATATAACTGTTATTTACAAGATACTATCAGTATCACAAAAACAAAATCTCGCAAGTGTCCATCAATAGACAAATGAAGAAACTATGATTACAGACAGACAATGGAATAATCTGTAATGTTAAAGAGTAACGAAGGATCTGTGAAACACCTCACAAAGTGGATGAACGTTGAGGACATTATGTTGAGTGAAGTAACTCAAATCATCAAAGGGCCAAGTTTAAATTAGTGCACGATTAAGAAATGTCAAGGAAACGTTTATATACAGAAAAAATCCAAACCAACTAAAAGCATTCTTTGGTGAGAGAGAGAGAGAGAGAGAGAGAGAGAGAGAGAGACAAAGACACACACACACACACACACACACACACACACACACACGGGATCCAAAGTAGGTAATAACTAGAGAATTCATGGTGATCAGCCAAGGAATGACTA